ATTGATGAGCTTATTCCAAAGTATTGAGAAACTGAACAAAGAAGAATGTGAGTGAAAAAGACAATTGAAAGCTACACTGGTTCAATCTTAGAAGAACAGTGTAATGGATCCCTGAAGAATCAAAGGACTTGATGCCTAAGAAAAGAGCTTAAGAAATTTGAGTACCATACATTGAACAGGAATTAATTGACCAACATTTGCATAACATGCATTGAAATTCATATGCATTTACACAGCATACACTATTTTCAGCAAAATATAGTGTATAAATTCAAGAAGCAGGGGTGTTCCAACATCCCACATAGAGAAGACAGATATGAAGATATTTTACAGAATTGAAAAAGAAAAAGCTTGTCAGGTAAGTTCCTAATCCTTGAAATAGGATGTCTTTTGGTATCAGAGTTGATTTATAAGACCTTTGGGCATAATCTCCTGAAATTCTTTCAAACACAACTTTCAACTCTTTGGACATGATTGTTAAGGAGTAATTTACTTTTCAAAGTTTCGTTGCCTTTGTTTAGAGGAGCAATTTACTTTTCAAAAGTTATGGTGCCTCTATTTAAAGGAGCAATTTACTTTTAAAGTCGTGGTGCCTCTGTTTAGAGGAGCAATTTACTTTCAAAGTCGTGGTGCCTCTGTTTAGAGGAGCAATTTACTTTCAAAGTGGTGGTGCCTCTGTTTAGAAGAGCAATTTACTTTTAAAGTCGTGGTGGCTCTGTTTAGAGGAGCAATTTACTCTGTTTAGAGGAGCAATTTACTTTCTCAAAGTCGTGGTGCCTCTGTTTAGAGGAGCAATTTACTTTCAAAGTCGTGGTGCCTCTATTTAGAGGAGCAATTTATTTTCCAAAGTCGTGGTACCTCTGTTTAGAGGAGCAATTTATGTTTCTCAAAGTCGTTGAGCCTCTGTTTAGAGGAGTTTTGGTAAAAAAAAAAACAAAAAAACAAAAAAATAAAATAAAATAAAACATAAAAAACAAAAAATGACAATGTTGAGCTGAGTTTTGATTGGGTGTCTACGTCTTTGCGCAATTTCTGTTTCACAGAAAATGTGCAAAGAGGGGCAGCTGTAGACACCCAATTGGGTCCAGGCCTAGATCAATTGGGCCTGACCCAAATGGGTAAGGCCCAATTCAATTTTTATCCTGTATTATTTTTTTTATATTTTATATATTTTATTATTTATTATTATTATTATGTATTAATATATGTATATCTGTATTTATTTATTTAGAATAGATTTATATGTATTTTATTTATATAGTTATATATTTATTATTATATTATTATTTTTTTTGTAATATATTTTTGGGTTTATCTTATTTTATTTTTTATTATTTTTTTAAATTATCTGTTAATTTTATCTGATTTTTTTTCTCGATTATCTGATTAGTATTATTTTTTTTTCTTTTTTTTATGGCTGTGATTGAAAGTTGAAGAATCCCATTGTGAATGGGAATTCAATCAGAAGAGTCCAGATTGGATTCAAAGATTGAATTCCCGTCCAAGGAGGAATTGGGATTGATTAGGAACTCCTGATCAATCCCTATAAAAGAGACCTCCTGAAACAGATATAAGACACACAGAACAAACAGTGAGTAAAGCTATTGATTTGAGAGAAAATGAGGTGTATAGGAAGCTGAGAAAAGGTTTAAGAGTGTTCGAGGAGTTAGCAGAAATTTTTTGAGAATTTTTGGTGATTTGTTTTTCTGAGAATTTTTGGAAAATTCCAGATTCCGGTGAATTTTTTGGGCGAAGTTTGAATTTTTTAGACGAAAATTTCGGCCAACCTTGAAGTTTTAGGCGACTTGCCCAGTTTTCGACGAAGATTTCCAAAAACCGGTGAGCTTCCGACGAACTTTCGGTGAAAAAACCCAGATTCTGGCGACAAAACCCAGAATCCGGTGAATCTTCAACTGGAGTTCTTCGGCCTTTTAGAGAGAAGGGAGAGGAAAAAAGAAGAAAAGAGAGAGAGAGGAGAGGAGCGTTCTGCCGAAAAACAGAGGGAAGTGCCTTTTATACCCTCTCAAACCGACGTCGTTTTGGCCTTAAGTAACCCAGAGGATCCACGTGTTTTGTCGAGATTCGACCCGACCCGAGCGTCGACTTCCTGACCCGCGCGTGTCTGCCCCCTCCAAGTTGAGCTGAGCCGAGCCGAGCTCCAAAGCCGCTTCTTCGAGTCATTTTTTTTCTTCCTTGAGTCGAACCGAGCGGAGTCGCGATTCGAGCCGCTCCAGATTTTTTTTTTATTTTCATTTCTTTGTTTATTTGTTTTTTTTAATTTTTTTTATTTATTAGATTAAGTTTATTTAATATTCTTTTTATCTTTATTTTATTTTTATTTTTATTTTTGTTTTACTTTTCTTTATTTTTTTATTTTTATTTATTTTTTTATTATTCTATTTTCTTTAAATGAAAATCAAAATTTTCAAAAAAAATATTTTTAGGGAAAAGTTGAAAGTATCAATTTTTCTTAAAAATAAATTTCAAAAAAAAAATTTTTGAAAAAAAGTTGAAAGTATCAATTTTTCTTAAAAATAAATAAAAACAAATGATTTTTGAAGGAAAGTTGAAAGTATCAATTTCTCTCAAAATTAAAGTTTCCAAAAAAGTATTTTTGAGGAAAAATTGAAACTATCAATTTTTCCTACACAAGAACAATCATTCTTTCCTTCCTTTCTATTTTGATTTTGATTTTGATTTTGATTTTTCTTTAACTAATCCGACGACGGAACCTCTACAAGTGAAACAGTAGTTTTTCTTGCATACTCTTGAAATGAGAGAATTTTCTCAATTTTCTGCTAAAAGTATTAGAATCAATTGAGAAAATTTTCCAATAACTAATTACTTGGTAAAATTTTAAAGCTCATTAAATAACACAAATTTAAGTTGATACCATCTTTTGATGGACGTTGTGAGGATGCTATAACTTTCCTCACACGTAACCGAACTCTCAAACCCTGTTCTGATTAGTAGACTTGAACCTATTCTTTTAGGAACCCTTAAACTTAGGTGTTCTCTAAAAGGAGTCAATTACACCTAGATAAAAAAGATTGGTGACGATTTCCTTAAGTCAATATCTAACGATAAATCCTCGGATCTAAACGTTATGACAATTATATATAAAACATAAAAATTATTACATCACAATGGCATTTGTATCAGGTTAGAACTTGTATCTTTTTTTTTTTTTTAATAATATGACCGTATCGTGACAGAAGTAGTTGGAATCTTACTGCTATCATTATACTAATAAAATTTGGAAATGTCGAAAAGTTCAAAAAAAATACTTACATCTGTTTTTTTTTTTTTTTTTTTTTTTTACCAATCAATAAGACAGTAACAAAGTAAGATGCAAACTTCCAAAAAGTTTCATGCTTACCATCAACATTTCCAGAACATATTTTCCTTGTTCCAATTTAAACCCGTTCCATCATACATGTTTTTCACTAAGCACAGATCATTCATGAGCAGGCAAGATCCTTCCATTTCCCAATAATCCCATCTTCAGAAAACTTGAACTAAATCTAATAATAATATCTGCTGTGAGACTGGGAAAGGATGGAAGTGTTTGGAATATCATCATCGGTTATTCATAGTCCCCCTCAATTCTGGCAACCAACCCAGATGAGAAACAGAGGCTCATTCTTGTCATCATTCTTGATAAATGATAGTATAAATTATGATGCATTTAAATGTTAAATCACATAAAATCACCATAGCTGGTGTTTATGCCACAGTACACATGGGGGGGAACGAAACTGAATTCACGTAGCCCACACCACAGCACCATTATCTCAATGAATCTAAACTACAAAATGTCAATCTTACTGTCATAAACATGACAGATTTCCTCACCTCCGAAGAAATATAGTGGCTTGAAGAAAGCTAGAGAACATGCTTCAAAAGAATCCTCAGTTTACAGCCAACTTATCACACAAAGACTGATATGCTGAGTTGCAAAGCTTGAATTTCTCCTCCGCAACAGCCTGCTCAATGTGCATTCGATGATCAGTTTGCTAGAACAGAAGTTGAACATGATAATATGGGCAATCAAAAAGAAAATAACAGTTTGAAGTCAACATGATAATATTTACTAGTCTGGTGTCTAGAATGTAGCCATAAAAACCAGTACAAGTTTGGTTAAATAAATAAGAAGCTTAACTGCTGTAAAATGTTTCTAAAAGGAGATAATAATGTCTAGAATTTAGATATCAAAATACTATAATATTTTTCTTTATAAAGGGATGATCCTGAATCTTCCACAAATCAATCAAATCGGTCTAGTATTCTAAGCAGAACAGCGAACGAAGTAGCCTAATGAATGGGGAATGTTGATACCTTGGAAGAGCCGTGATGACGATCTGGATGCCATTTCAGTGCACAGGCTCGATATCTAAAAATTAGAAAATGAAGCAATCAGACAACATAGAGAAATATCCTTTAAAAAGCAGCCATTAGTGCTTTTAACAACAGAAACAATTTACAAGGTTACTGTATGTACCCAAAAAGAAAGAATAAAAAAATACAATGGTGTTTGCAAAACACAACAAAGAACTCACGCATTTTTAATGTCTTCAAGTGTTAGAGGGCCAGATGCACTTAGCCCAAGGGCCTGCCTGTCTGCAATCGTCTCTTGGTCTGAACTCTCAGAAGTACCAGATTCTGTTGAGGAGTCAGAATCCTCATCAAATCGATGTCTCCACTTCCAATATTCCTCATACTTATTTGAGTATCTGGATGAGTTCCTCCATTGAGGATTCTCCTCATTAATGAAGGACCAATAAAAGAACCGGCTTCCACCAAATGCAGACCCAAATATGCTCTCGATGTCATCATCATTGTCTTCACAAAACTCAAAAGGTCCTGACCAAGTGTTCAAAAGCGGTAAGTTTCTAGCACTGAATCCAGGAGGATAACATGCTAGTACATGCAACATGCTATAACTACCAAATGAAGTTTCAAAAAGTTTTCAGAATAAGGGCATAAATTGTTGTAGGTAATTGAATGATTATGAGATGATTAAAATGGAGAAATGAGCATTGCATCCAACACTGAATGACCATTATTAAAGTAAAGCCAGGTGTAGGCCAAAAACTAAGATTTAAAAAGGCCACTCCCTCGAAAAATAAGAACAAAATTCAATCTAGAGGCCCCTTTAGATGGGCCTAATTTCATATGTCATGTAATATATTTAGGGGAGTGATAATGAAAAGTTTTAAAAGATTAACAAATCATAAAGCCAAGTCATTCACATCCTTACTTCTACCCCTGTATTGAAATTCCCTATTGCCAGGCCAATCTCTTCTGGATCTCTTACTGTACTGCTTTTTGAACCACGAGGGGCCTCTGCTTGATGATGGATCATCTTCATGAAACTCATCTTTCCAGCTCTAAAAACAGAATGGCCAAATCACAATTGAAACCCTTTCAATCAAAGATTTAATAAAAACAATATAATTCTAATAAGTTAAATGTATAAAGATTACTAATATGTGAAGAAAAACTTCTGCAATATGTATTACTAGCACAACCTAGAGCATTAAAAAGTTCTTTTTTTTTCCAGCTTTTGCATTTAGAATTAAACATGTTATTGTAATTTTAAAAAGTTGAACATTCTACCTTCCTTACAAATGCTTAAACAAGAATTCTTATGCTGATTTATAGCAAAAAAGGACAAAACCAACTTTGATTCCATAAAAAATCAACTAAAATTTTTTTCAACATGGCAAACATTGTTTTTAGTAATTCCCTTTTCAGTAATATAGCATCCTCATTCGAAGCTATCCACTATGCTCATAGTTCAGAAAGTAGCAATATTATCATTTTACCAGGTTTTTAGCAAAGGAATAAGCTTAACTGGCAAGTTCATGGATATAGGTCTTGACTCTTGACTACATTAAGTAGTAGTTCCAATTCAAAAGTAAGCATGACTGGCTAAATTTGAAGGTCACTGCAGCAAATGTTGATCCTGCGCAAGTACACATTATATCTGACTGGCAGAAGCTGCACCTAATCATGTGCATGGGAATCCCAAAATGTAGGATAGCTCCCCTCGGGAATGGAATAGCACATGAGTAAATAACTGACTATCATGGGGCGTCTAACAGAAGGACATGGGCCACTGCAATACAAGTCCTCCATAATGCAACTTTGGAACCCACAGGATTATGTTTGCTTTTCCGTAAGTGTACAGATTTTATTTGAATTTTAACCTAAACTAGATAAACAAGTAATCAACAAGAATATAAACCTCCAATATGTAGTCTGCATAAGCACCAATATTGCGCAATAATTGTTGTTTTGCACGTAGCCTTCTGGGCCTCTTAACCTGCAAACAAAAAAAGTTACGAGAATTGCATGATATTATCATTCAAAGTTTGAAAAGAATAATAGAAATTTTCAAGTATTGCAAGTTCAATGATAAGAATAACAACCAACAACAATAAATTTCACAAGAATTTTCTGCCTAGGTCGCTGGTATAATTAACCAAAAGAAAATAGATTCTCCTAATGGAGTAAAAGAATTTGGCTGAAAGCAATCAGCAACAATCCCATTACACCTAGCAGCACTAATCTCCGAGGGCATGCTTCCTGCTTAGAAAAGAGTGAGAAAAAATAATACCCTGAAGAGAGTGTGACCAATGCCTAAAACATATAACACATGTCTAGCAGCACAGAACTAAGAAAAGGAGAAACCTGAATTCAATCATCCTAGAGAATTCTTGCAATCTGCAATCAACTCAATAATAGATTCTTTAAATAAATACTCATTTTCATATGTGTCAATTAATGATCAAGTATTCAACAAAAATATTCAACTCCTAAGTGCTCCAAAACACAAATCCATTTCTTTCAATAGCCTCATCCAGTATCATATCTTAGGCAAAAAAGTATTTGTCTTAAAACCTCAACTCATTCTCCTAATAGTTATTGAATTAGAAATGGTTCCACAGCAGAAAAAATACCAATGACTGCTAGTTTCCATTTTCTAGAAATATATTAATACATTTAATTAAGAGAACATTATAACCAAGAGAAATTGGCAAACATAATACTTTATACATATTAGAATAAACAAAGAAAAGTTTTACAGTAGACTGAAATAACAACATAAACAAAAAGTCTAGCAATTAAAGTAAAATAAATGTCATCAATGAGTTCCGAGACATCTACCATTCAAAATTTGAACCAAATTCAGAATTTCCTATTTGCACTACATGAAAATCCAGCATTTTGCACTTAATGATCTCCAATTAGAAACTACTCATTAAATATGGAATCAAGTTCACAGGTTTCCTCTATTTCTCTTCTTTACCAATCCAATATATTCAATCACTGAAAAAAATCATAGATACCAAACAAAAATCAACCAAGAATCCAATGTCTTCATTTACATATTATATGCAACCTCAGATAGAAAAAAGGCTCCTACTTTATCATTTATTTTACTTATCCAAAATAAGGAGAGAAAAAGCATCAAAATTTTATTTTGATAAGCATTCTCTTAACCCAAATTTTCTAATCTAAGACACCATAAATTATAAATAAAATACTGCAAAATTTCACCAAATGAACAAAACCCATAAAAGGAAACATGTTCAAAAGTACAAAAATCTTTTTAATTGAAAAAAAAAAAGCTTACAAATTGCCAATGGTTGCGTCTTTTATGTTCAAGGACGGGAGTGGAATGGAAGCAGGCAGCCCTCTGGAAAAGATAGTTGCTTTGTGAGTTGAAAATGGCTGCTTTTATTGCCCTATTCATCCCTCTCTCCCCAACAAAAGAAAAAATAGTCTCGCAGAGATTTTCTAAGAATGTAGTTCGAAGCTCGCTGCCTAGAGACAATACAACTTCAAAAAAACAATATCACCGGCTGACTCGGAGAACCCCTTTTTCGGGGTGTCGAACTGGGTGATAAATTTTTCTCTTTTACTTTACGTTTTTACTTAGGCTAAATATAAAAAAGTCTTGTAGATTATAATTTTTTTGTCCGTTTGATGCTTAAATAAATAAAGTTATAAAATTATTGGATTTATATTTAAATTTTCATGTCATTATCACAATAATATTTTAAATTAACGTCATTAATCAATTTCATTGAAATGAAATTAATATATAAAAAATATTTAAGTGTGCCCAAAAATCAAATCACTGTCACATTATTAATGTCACGGTAAATTAAAATAAAAAAAATTTTAAATTTTAAAAAATTTTAAAAAATTCTATAAAAAATCTCTAAAATTTTTTTAAAATTAAATAAAATTTTCAAAAGTTAAAAAAACAAATTTTTTTAAAAAATTCTTTAAAAATTTTTAAAATCTTTTCAAAATTCTAAAAAATTCAAAAGTCTTTTAAAAATTTCAAAAAAATTCTAAAAAATTTTTAAAATTCTAATAAAATTTTCAAATTTTCAAAATTTCTAAAAAAATTTCAAATTCTAAAAAAGACAAAAAAGATTTTTTTTAATTCTTAAACATTTTTAAAAATTCTGAAAATTTCAAAAAAAAATCTAAAAAATTCCTTAAAATTTTATAAAATTCAAACCAATTTTTAAAATCTTCAAAATTTATAAAAAAAAACCAAAAATATAAAAAATTTTATAAATTATAAAAATTATGATAATTTCAAATTTTCAAAAAATTTTGAATAATTTATAAAAAAATCCAAAAAATTCAAAAAAAAAATGAAAAAGTTAATAAAAATTAACTTTTCTTAAAAAATTTTTTAAAAAATTAAACAACTGAAAAATAAAAAAATCTTAAATTTTTTAAAAATTTTTGAAAATTTAAAAAAAATAATTTTTTTTGAAAAAGTCTGAAATTTTTTAAAAAATTCTAAAAATTTTTTAAAAAATAAATAATTTCAAACTTCTAAAACATTCCAAAAAATTTTAAAATTTTCTGAAAAAAATAAAAAATTAGAAAACTTAAAATTATAATAAAAATCCAAAAAATAAAAAAAGTAATAATTAAAAAATAATAATTAAAATTGTAAGATTCATAAAATTGAAAATTTTTCATAATTTTTTAAAAATTTTGTACAATTTTTATAAAAAATTTTCTGTTTTTTTTTTTTAATTTATTTTTTATTTAAACTATTTTGAAGTTTTGTGAATTTTTTTAATTTTAATAAATTTTATTTTTATTATCTTTTTATTTTTTTATTTTTTTTAGAATTTTTAAATTTTTTTTTAGAATTTTATTAGTTTTTTAAATTTTTAAAAAATTTTTTTTATTGATGATATAGCACTGATATGTATCAATATCTTATTAAATGTTTATATCACATCAAAAAATTTGACTAACAACATAAGTTCGAGGTACCAACATAATAACAAAATAAAAATTTAAGTACTAATTTGATTAAATATCAAAATGATAAAAAAATAATAATTTGTGAATCGTTTTTATATTTAACCCTTTTTATTTTTACCACAACAATGGTTTTATTCCTTCAAATGAAGAGTTGTGGTGAGATTACTTTTGGGCAGGATCAATTAAGGTGGAAGACGATTTAGATTATTTTAGATTGGATTTAGGGATATATATTAATAAAGTAAAAGAATGAAAACGAATGTTTTTAAAGAAAATGAAAGATATTTTTGTTTGGATTAATAAAGAAAAAAGGAAAGGAAAAAAATCTTGTCATTTATTGTTAGATTAAAAAGTAAAAAAAAAAAATTCATTATAATATTTTTTAATTATATTTTTTTTATAAAATAACATATAATATCAAATAAAAATAAAATAAAAATCTCTTTATCCTACTTAACTTGTACAAACAAAAATAAAGTAAGAAACATGGGAGGGATGGATACTTTGCTCCAAAGCTAGATATGAGCAAAGCGTATGATCGGGTGGAATGGGACTTTCTTGAAAAAACTAATGACTAGCTGTGATTTGACAAAAAATGGACTAATATGGTCATGAAATGTGTTTCATCTATATCCTATTCTATTATGGTTGGTGATATTATGGACTCTTTTAAGCCTGCAATAGAGGCCTCCATCAAACAGACTTAATTTCTCTGTACTTGTTTCTACTGTGTACAGAGGGATTATCATCACTGCTACATAAATATCAAATCGAGGGTTTCCTGAATGGCCTACAAGCAAGCAGAACTGGATCTAGGGCTACTGATTTGTTCTTCGCCAATGATAGTATCTTATTTGCCAAAACAAGTAAAACAGAGAACGGGGTCATGACGCACGTGCTACAGAGGTATGAAGACAACTCGGGTCATTGTATAAACTTTGCTAAGTCGGTTATTTATTTTGACAGTAACACAATGGAAAGCAACCAGATAGAAATCAAAGAGGCAATGGGAATTGAAGCCACAACAAATATGGAGAAATACTTGGGGGTACCTTCGATGGTGGGCAGGGATAGGAGGAAGGCATTTGGAGAATTGAAAGACAGAATGCACAATCGGCTGGCAGGACGGAATTGTCGAATACTCTCTTAAGTTGGCAGGGAGGTGTTCCTAAAAGCTGTGGTACAGGCAATCCCAAGTTACACCATGGGATGTTTTCGGCTACCAATGAGATTTTGTGTGGAACTTAATGGCATCTTGAGTAATTTCTGGTGGAGGCAGAACAATTAAAAAAAAAAAAAAAAGGTTCCGTTGGCTTAGTTGGGAGAAAATGTGCTGGCCAAAAGCATTGTGGGGGATAGGGTTTCGTAAGATGGAAACATTTAATATGGCAATGCTAGCAAAGTAAGGGTGGAGATTATTAACAGATCCCACAACATTGGCGCATCAAATACTCAAGGCGGAATACTTCCCACTAACATTTTTTCTAAACTCCAAGCTGGGATATAACCCTTCCCTAACATGGAGGAGCATTTGGGGATCCATACCAATGTTGGAGCGTGGTACCAGATGGAGAATTGGGGATGGGAGATCGACTCGAGTGTGGAATGATAAATGGGGTCCCTTTCAATAAGGGTTTCTTAATCCAATCACCAAGGAGAGGCTAGATGGAGAATGAACTAATGGAAAATTAATTGACCACAACTTAGGGAAATGGAAAATGGTGCTATTACAGGAGAGGTTTAACGCGGATGAAGCAAAAGCCATAAGCATAATACCACTAAGCAGAACAAGAGGTCCGATATTACGGTGTGGCATCATCACAAAAGTGGGAGATATTCAGTAAAAACTGGATGCAGGCTGCTTTGCCAGGGGGAAGAAAACAACCTGTCACTTGATGAAGGCACCAAAAATAGGTTATGCAAGAAAATTTGGGCGCACCTGTACCAAACAAAATTAAAGTCTTCCTATGGCGAGGTTGTCGTGGCATATTGCCAACCATGGATAGTCTAGGACGTAGGGGAATTAATGCTAAAACGACCTGCAGTCGGTGCAGAAAAGAGGCAGAAACAATACTTCATGCCCTTAAAAACTGTGACGTGGCAAGAGTGTTTGGCAACAACTCCACTGCACATGGGATAGATTGATTGAGGAAGATACTGAAGGGACAGAATGGTTGAAGGAATGGATAAAAACAATAACTCAAGAACAGTTACAGCTGCTGGCAGTAACGAGTTGGGTGAACTGGACGAATAAGAACACAGAAACACATGGAGAGGCAAGAACTCCAACGACCCAGACGGCAAACTTTGTTAAGTTGTATATTAGGAAGTTCGACAACGCACAGGAACGAGAGAACCAGGTCGTTGAAATGACAGATCATAGATGGAAGCCCCCTCGACTTGGTTTCCGCAAAGTGAACTTCGATGCTGCATTGGATCGGAAGGAAAAAAAGGGAGGAGGAGACGTTGTCATCCATGACTCAAACAGCCAATTCATAGTGGCATGTGCCTCTGAGTTTGATAGGGTTGACGATCCATTCGTGGTGGAGGCGAAAGTGTTTGTTCAAGCGTTAAACTTTGCCAAAGACATGGGATTTCAATCTATAGTAATTGAAGGGGATGCTTTAGCAATCTGGAAAAAAGTGCAGCAGAACGGGCCTGATTTTTCTCCTATAGGTGTGATATTGGATGAGGGGAGGGAATTGATAAGTAGTTTTATTAACTATGCATTGATGCATTTAGGACGAAAGGAGAATGCAGTTGCTCACAATTTATCTAAGTATGGCTTAGATGCAAATATGGACAGGTAGTGGATAGAGGAACCCCCTCCATTTTTATGTAATGCCTTGCAGATGGATTTCTCTAATAATGAATGAATGATGACATTTACTAAAAAAAAAAAAAAAAACTTGTATAAGCAGGTGATTCTCATAATAGCCACTCATTTGAAACCATTTATTCATATATTGCAATGCTTAATGTTACTAGTTTGTCCATGAAATTTATTTATTACATAATTATTTTCATCTTTCAACTGTTACCAATATTTGTGCAAGTTTTACAAATTCTTTGAAAATCAAAGCCTAGATATATTTAGTCCATCATATATTAAATAAAAGACTTTTAAAACTTATAGTACATTAATTATTGCTTTTGACTGTGAGAATAATTCTCAGAAAAACATTGATTTAATCTACCAATTTTATGCACTTTCATAGTATATTAAGCAAAAGCATTGCACCATGTTGTCAATATGCTTATAGATTGATAAAAAAAAGTCGTAAAATTTCAAAAGCAAGAATGATTCAAAATCTAAACTTGTAAAATTGTAGTGGTACATTATGTGCATATCAAAATAAAATCATAATCAATGTAGACTAATAAAATATCGCCATATACTTGTCTAACACAAATTTATTTTATCAAAATAAAAAAATAAATATTTTTATCTTAAAAATTTTTTTTAACTAATTAAAAACTTATCTAGCAAAAATATTTTTAACATGTTTAATGGTCAAAAGAACCAAATACCAACTATTCAACGACCTCTTTTCTTTTACCCCATAAGCATCCAAGTACCATTCTTACTTTCTCAAGACTATCAATTAAATAAAGGTATGCTA